GGCCATATTGGGCCAATTTGGGGCAACAACGGCATCGACGGACGCGTTTTGAGATCCTTCCCGGGACCCCGGCGGGACGGACCGAACTCCCAGGGGGCGTTCTTTTGGAAAAAGAGCCAAACCACAACAGAAATTTTCTAGCACGCCAGGCACCCCTGAGATGAATCGACAGGGGGCGGCGGATCGAAGACGCCTACTGCGAATCACCGCCGCCCCCTGCCTTTTTGGAAGCGCCTATGTGGCCGAACGTTGAGGCCAGACCTGCCAAGCTATCGGACCATGTGTTCCCCGAATCGGTTTGGAAAGCCTTCGGGGAACACGTGGGCATCTTGAAGGTCACCTTGGCCGCCTGGAGGCTATTTTGACCCTTTCGGGCCTTTTTGACGGACGTTTTTGATGGCTTTTTGGCTGTTTTGGAGGCCATGTTGAGCGTCTTGGAGGCCTCTTGGGCCATCTTGGGGGCCTCGTGAGGCCGTCTTGGGCCTCTTGGGCGATCTTTGGGGGCCCTTGGGCCGTCTTGGGCCGTCGGAAGGCCGAACAAAAAGCAAATGCCACAATCCTTGAACAACTCATGGGAAATCAATGAGTTTGGCCTTTTCGGGCCGTCCTGGAGGCCCTCTTGGAGGTGTCATCTTCGGCCGTCTTGGTGGGCCCTTGGTCCGTCCGACGCCGTCGGAAGCCGTTTGGGGGGCCTCTCTGAGCCGATTTGGGGCCCTCTTGGAATGCTCCAGGGCCGTCTCGGAGGCCATATTGGGCGTCTTAAAGGCCTCCTGGGCCGTCTTGGGGGCCTCGCCGTCTTGGGGGCCTCTTGGACCGTTCTGGGGCCATCTTGGAGGCCTCCTGGGCGATCTTGGGGGGCTCTTGGGCCGTCTCGGGCCGTCGGAAGGCCGAAAAGAAGCAAATGTCAACATCCTTCAACAACCGATGGAAAATCAAAGTTTTGGGACTGGTCTGGCCTACCTGGAGGCCCTCTTGGAGGCCTCTTGGGCCGTCTTGGGCCAGCTTCGAGCCAACTTCGGCCATCTTGGTGGGCTCCTGGCACGTCTGACGCCGTCGGGAGCCGTCTTCTTTCTGGGCCGACTTGGGGCCCTCTTGGGGCGCTTCTGGGCCGTCTTGGAGGCCATCTTGGGCATGTTGGAGGCCTCTTGGGCCGTCTTGGAGCCCTCTTGGGGCCGTCTTGGATGCCTTTTGGGCCGTCATGGGGCCCTCTTGGGGGCCTCTTGGGCGATCTTCGGGGCCTCTTGCGCCGTCTTGAGTCGCCGGAATGCTGAGAAGAAGCAAATTCCAGAATCTTTCAATAACCGAAAGGAAATCAATGTGGGGGCGATCTTGGGGACCTCTTGGGCCGTCTTCGGTCGTCGGAAATCCACGAAGAAGCGAATGCCCAAATCCTTCAAACACCTTCGGAAAATCAATGATTTAGATCTCTTCTGGCCCTCCGTGAGGACCTCTTGGTGGCCTCTTGGGTCGTCTTGGAGGCGTATTGGAGGCTTCTTGGGCGAACTTGGGGTTTTCTTGGACCCTCTGCGGCCGTCTTGGAGGCCGTCTTGGACCGTCTTCGGCAGACTTGGAGGCCATCTGGGACCATATCTTGGGCCAACGTGGCCATCCTGGAGGCCATCTTGAGCCGTCATGGAGGATCTTTCCGGAAATTGAGCTCCTGGAAGATCGTCCCGGGACCCTGGCGGGACGGGCCGAAGCCCCAGGGGGAGTTCCTTTGGAAAAGAACCAAACCCAAACCCGTAAAAATTCGGCACGCCAGGCGGCCCATCCCGCCACCGTGCTTGGGTTGTGGATCTGAGGCCTCTTGTATACGTGTTGGGGTGTCGTGGGGAGCCTCCCTGAAGCTTCTTGGATGCGGTTTGGGCGCCCTGGGAGCCTCTTGGAGCCTCGTGGGGTATCTTTTGGGTTTCGTGGACGCGACTTGGGCGCCTCTTGGGACCTCTTGTAGCCTCTTGACGGCCTCTTGGGGCCTCCTGGGGGCTCCTCGGGCCTCGGAGGCGCGAGTGTAGTTTGATTTGCGCGGATCGTGGCCTCGGGAGCGCGAGTGTGGTGTAATTTACGGGAGATACTGGCCTCGGGAGCCCGAGTGTGGCGTAATTTGCAAGGGCTCGCAGCCTTGAGGGCTCGATTGTGGCGTAAGTTATGGGGGCTCGTTGCCCCAGAGGTGGGACTGTGGCGTAATTTTTGAGGGATCGTGGCCTCAGGAGCGTGAGCATGGCGCATTTTATGCGGGATCGGGGACGCGAACATAGTATAATTGACAAAGGATTTTGGCCTCGGGGGCGCGACTACAGCATACCTGAACAGGGGTGATTGTGTTGGGAGCGCGAATCTCACGTTTTTGTTACGCGTCCCAGTGCCCCCCAGAAATTCTGAGGCTGTGCCATTTTGGCTCAAGCCATTTTGGCTCAAGCCAAAATGTAAGACTACACCCGATTCTCTTGTGCTACCTCAGTCTTCGCGAGGTTCCCAAGACTGTATTCTGAAGCAGGATGGCATGGGGCGCTGGTGCTACATCGCGGGATGGGCACTCGGCATCGCCGTCAACCTCGGCGTGGCGCAAGGATCCATCGGGGCGCTGGCACTACGTCGGGCCCCGGAACAGCCAGAAGCAGACCCAGCAGAAGCGGTGCTGGACGTGCAGAGGCTGCTCGAGCTCGAACTGGACCAAGCAGGCATGTGCGACGCGTGGGATGCGGCGCAGCTGGGCAGAGGTAGTGTCCGATACCCTCCTGCGCCCAAGGAGACGACCGCAGCGCAGCAGAATCCTGTGCGTGCACGCCTCCACGCCATCACGGAGACCCCCACGAAGATTCACGCGGCGAATGCTACCACTCCCTCGCCTCCATCGCCTCCTGCTTTACCTGCGGAGCACGCGGCCCCCGCCCCCATCAGCGAGGCCTCGCACAGAGCGCAGATCCAGGACCGCATCAAGCGGATGGAGGCGGCTCTGGCGGCAATCCCCGAGGACCATGTGGAGCTCTCCACCGAGCGCGCCTCCATCGGCACCCACATCGCCGAGTACAAGCGTCAGCTCATCGACGGCAAGCCCATCGGCGCTCGCATCGGTGGGGCCCGTGCCGCCCTTGCCCGTGCCGCGCGCGGCAGGAGGAGGCCGAGCAGACTCTCTCCGCGGCCACCGCACTCGTGAAGCACGCCACGGACGAGGTGACGACGCTCGAGACGGAGCTTGCCGAGCTGGAGAGGCGTCCCTGGCTGCTGCACCTCCTGCAGTGGCGGCGCCACCCTCTCCGGCGACCCACGCATTCGATACCTGAGCCAGATGATCGACCACCTGGAGCAGAACGAGCACGTCCACCCTGGCATATCCAGGCAGCGAGGCAGCACGTCCAGCAAATCTTCGAGGGTTCCCAGGCCACCTTGAGGCAGGCCGAGGCCACTCGTGCTGCGGCTGCTGGGGTTCAGCCCACCCTGGCTGGCTTCAGCGTCAAGACGATGGCGACTGCTTCTGCACCGCCTCCGTCGGTGATCGGCCCTGCCAGCGGCTCTCTGGTGCGGCACCGGGGCAAGCAGAAGCCCAAGGAGCTGATCACCGATTACTTCACGAGGCGCAAGGTCGTCAAGTCCATCTTTAAGGACACCTCGGCCAGCTCTGCTGCAGGCCGCCGCGCTGTTGGGTCGATGGCGGGGTTTCCTGTGCCGGCGGACGCCCCTGGAGAGGATCTTTAGGCGCAGGCTACATCTTTCCTGCGTCTGGCGCCATGCCGCCCACTACCGGTCCAAGCATATCATTTTCACGTTCTTGCGTGGGGTGGGCAGTGGACGCCCGCAGCTCCCTGACCCCCCACATCGTTCCCGACACACCGCTGAGAGGACCCCATGGCCCTCCCGCGGCTCCAACTGCGCGCCGTGCTCGCCGAGCTCAGCGTGCAGACTCTGCCGCGCACTCCTGCGGCAAGGACTTGCGCATCACCACCAGCAATGTGTGCACGCTGCGCCCTCACGAGGAGCATGCGGCTGGCACGCAGGCCAGTTGCCAACTCCTGTGCGGCAAGGTTCAGATCCTCGAGGATATGTTCGTCTCGGAGAACATCGACGTCGTCTTTCTGCAAGGAGGGCGGGCTGTCAAATCCGAGCAGCGGAAAGGAGCCCACTTCTGTACGTTCGTGGGCGCGGCCGACGAGGCCGGCGGTTTTGGCTGCCAGGTGTGGGTGCGGTCGACCCTTCGATTTCGCACCTCGTCGTGCTGTACGGTGTGAAGTGAAGCGAAGTGAAGTGAAGTCCTGTACGGTGTCACCTCGCCTGACGTGGGTCGCCGGGCGGTGCAGCGACGGCGTGGCGCTCATGCTGGTGAGTGCCCACGCTCCGCGTGACGGCGCCCCTGCCCCCGAGCGTGAACGTTTCTGGGACGTACTGCTCGCTACGATCAGCACGCTGCCTCGCAAGACTCCCGCCGCGAAGGTGTTGCTCGGCATCGACGCGAACGGCCGGGTTGGTCACCGCCCCTCCAGAGTGGGCGGGTCCTCGGAGACCGACGCCTTCTCCCCGAACGGGTTCTCGTTGCCCACAACGCTCCGGCACTTGCATTTGTCCGCCCATAACACGCAGTTCGAAGCCGGCTACTTCGCGACCTTCGTCGTGTGAAGACGGCATTCGTCCCCGACCACGTCGACGTCGCAATGACCCCAGATGAGGACCATCGCCTGGCTGTCGTAGACACGCACGTCCCGCCGACCGAGCCGTGCCAGCAGCAGCAGGCGAGCTCCCTGTTCAACAAGTGGCAGCTGGGCTCCCCTGAGCGCGCGGCTGCCTTCCAGGCTGCACTGACGCCCGCGGACATCCCGCTTGGCGCCACGATCGATGAGCAGACCGACTACTTCAGCTAGCAGGTGCGTGCTGCGGCCGTCGCTGCGTTCGGACCTCCCGCCGACCATCCCCGGCAGTCCTGGGTCACGCCCGATACCTGGGAGATTCTCCGCGCCCTCGCACCTGCCCGCCGGGTGGCGCACCGTGCGAGCAGAGAGGCGCACGCGGCGAAGTTCCACGGCATCCTCCTGGGTTGGGCCTCGCTATGCTCCGCCCCCTCCCGCCCCGGCGGCGCGCTGCCGAGGCTCGGATGGGCGGCGCAGCGCGCGCCGAGCCAGTTGCGCCGCGTATGGAAGCAATGGCGTGCCCTTAGCGCCGTAGCGTGGCGCCTGTGCCTCCAACTGGCACGCCTCGTCAAGCACGTCATCCACTTCGACCGGCAGCTGTTCTTGGAATCGAAGGCCGGGGAGGCGCAGGCCGCAGCCAACCGCCGCGACTTCAATGCCACGTTCGGCGTCGTCCGCTCGCTGTCCGGCAGAGCCGCGAGCTCCGCCGCGCACGCCGTGCGACTGAAGACCGGCGCCCTTTCGGGCGGCGAAGCCGAGCGACAGGCGCGATGGCAAGAACACTTCCAGGAAGTATTCAACGGCCAGGTCGGAACGGCGCAGCAGCTCCAATGCGCCCCGCTCGCCGCGCCCCTCCCTGAGCGCAGCCTTCACGTTGGCCCTGCCGACGTCGGCGCCGCCCTCGTCAAGCTCGGCAGGAACCACAAAGGGGTCGGGCGTGACGGGGTTCTGGCCGAACTCCTCGTCGCTGGTGGCCTGGCGCTGTGGCAGCGTGGCAGCCCCTCGCCCTCCTGTACCGGCGCGTCCTGGACCACGAACGGTGGCCCGTGCAATGGGCCGGCGGCCGGATGGTGAACGTGCACAAACGTACAGGGCCCCTGGAGGACTGCGACGAGTCCCGCGGCATCGCCCTCGAGTGCCACGCCGCCAAGGGTCTCAAGCAGCTGCTCTCGGAGCAGGTGAACACCCCTTACGCCGAGCACATGCCGGACGAGCAGCACGGTGCGGTGCCTGGCAAGGGCACCGATATCGCGGCGCACATCGTTCACGCATTATTGGACTTCTGCGCCGCCTCCAGGCTCTCGTGCTTCATCTTGTTCATCGACTCGGTGAAAGCCTTCGACCGCGTAGTGCGGGAGATCACGCTCGGGTGGCCCCAGACTGCGACCGACCCCGCGTCATACTTGCGCGCGCTCGGGCTGCCCCCGGCCACGGCCAGTTGGATCGCCGGATGGGTGGCTGAGCACGGGTGCCTGTTTGAGCAAAGGGGCGCGCGCCCGAAGGTGATCAGGGTTTTGAGAAATCGTCGCAGTGCGTCCAGCTTCTCCTACGGGGACGCGGACTCCGCTGTCTCCACTCTGCTTGGTGGCCGGCAGGGCTGCAAGTACGGAATCACCATCTTCAGTAGTACGTTTTCGATCGCGATGGCCCTCGTGCGCGACGCGCTCCTCCAGCGCGGCATTATGCTGCGCCTCCGCCCAGGGTTGGCCGAGTTCTGGAGCGACGGCGTCGCCGGTGAGCAGCTCGACCCAGACGGCGCCCCTGTGCTCGACGCCGTCTTCGACGACGACGACTGCCTCGGCCTCGTTGCCCGCCGCGGAGTCGACCTGGCCCGCGGCGTCGACGTGCTATTGCGGACCGCGTGCGATTCATGCGAGAAGCTTGTGTTGGAGATCAATTGGAAGGCGGGCAAGACAGAGTGCTTCCTGACCTACCGCGGCCACTTGGCCTCCAAGCTCCTGGAACAAGGGCGGATTCGTGCAGGCTGAGGCCTGGCGGCGCAGGCCCCCCAGCGCACCGCGCAGTTGTTGGTGGGCGATCGCTGCAAACACTGGGTGTGCGCCAACGGGGCCCTCGGCCCCTTCGCGCAGCACCTCCGACAGCAGGCATCAGCCAGCTACGGGCCACTGGCGTCGAAGGTGTTCGGGTCGCCTGTGGTGCAGGACTGGGTCAAGCAGTGGTTCCTCCATTCGCTGATCCTCAGTCGCTTGGTGGTCCACGCGCACATCGTCGTGCCGTCGCGCCGCTTCACCGTGCAGCTGAACAGCGCGTGCACGAGGGCCGTGCGACGTATCGGCGACGTCCCGCGGTGCGAATCCACTGAGACCGATCTCCATGTGAGGGTGCACATGCGCGTGCCCAGTATCGATTGCTTCCTCGTGCGCTCTCGCCTCCGATATCCTGCGCGCATCGTTCGCAGGCAGCCCAAAGCGTTGCTTGCCTTGTTGTGCCCCCGTCCCTCGGGCGCGCTACTGCCATGGGTGCGCCTCGTCATCGGTGACATCCGGTGTCTACGCCGCACTGTCGCCTTGTGCGCGCAGCTGCCCAGGGCATGGAGTGCCCTTCTACCGACAGCTGGTCACAAGTGGGCTCAAGCGGTGTCGTGCCTCTACTTCGTAGACTCCTGCTGCGACGCTCCCACCTCCGTGCTTCCGGGCGCGTCCATCGCCAGGCCGTTCAAGCGCAACGCGTGCGACGCATCGTTTGCCTCCAACAAGGCGCGCGCGCAGCGCATGCGCACCCGCCGCCAAATTCGTTGTCAGCAACGCCTTTTCGCGAACGGGGAAGGCCTTGTGCCCTGTTTGCCGCGCCTCTTTTGGTGGCCGCTTGCGCCTCCTGTCGCGCCTATGCGATGGCCGTCGCCTGGCGCGCTGGCAGCAGATCCTCTCCAGGCCGTCTGAATTCAAACCTTTGTGCAGCTCCGAGGTCTCGTGTCTGGGCGAGGCAGATCAGTTCGAGCGCCGTAGCGCTCAGCGCCTCGGGTTCCCGCGCTCGGTTGCCCGGGGCCACGCGCAACTGGCCAATGGCCGGGTCGTCGGCCGGACACGACGCTAGCCGTCGCTTAGCCGTCCACATGTACAGCCCGCGCCCTTGTGCCCAGCCACGCTTGTGCAGAGGTGCGTGCACACGTGCAGTTTCATCGCTTGGTTCGCCTCGCGCATCGCTCGGCGCATATAGTATAGATGCATATATACTTCCCGACAGCTTCTGTGCATATCCAGATCGCCACGATGCTTTCCAACGGCTTATGCGGCTTTGTCCCGAAGCCCACTTCGCAGTCCACGTCGATGACCGCCGCGCGCTCCTGGTGGAGTGGGCCCGTTGGTCGTCTCCGCTCTGATGCGGGCCCCCCGAGGGTCAGCCCCGAACGGCGTGGGCGAGTTCCCCGCGCGCGGGAAGTCATCCGACATGTCGCTCCTTTTCGACGGGTGCGCTACCGCGTCGCCGCCGCCGGGTGCGCTGCATGGCGCGCGCTTTGCCTGCGTGCGTGGCGTGATCAGTGCCCTCGTCTTCGCCATTATTCTGGGTGCGCTCGGGGACTCCGCGCTGACGTTGGCTGGGGCTACAAGCGCGGAGCCTACGTCGGAGCGCATCTTTTCGCCTTGCAGAAGCTCGCCCGGCCGCGCATGGCCGGCGCGATCGTCATCGCCTTCGACGTTGGGGACTCCCGGAAAGCTCTTGCTACTCTCCGGGCTCTTGGTGGACGCGCGCCCAGGCCCGGCCAGTGCTCGCGCGATGATTCGGGTAACCTCACGACGACGCCGGCCGAGGTCAAGGAGGTTTGGCATCAGCATGCCGCCACCATCTTCCAAGGGCAAGTCGTTGCTGCTGAGGCCCTCCATCCTCCTCGCATTTCCCCTCGCGGTTTGCCCGCCGCCCTCGATGTTACCCTCGCAGCAAATCGCCCGGCGCACCTCGCACAAGGGCGGAGCAAAGGCGTCGGGGGAGACGGCTTACCGGCGGAAGTTCTTCAAGCAGGGGCCTCTGCTCTCGCGTGCCGTTGTGCCGACGTCAACGCGCGCGCCCGCGACCCTTGTGCATGGCCTACTGCTTGGCGCAGTGGCCAGTCCCAGGAACTCTTCAAACGTGAAGGCGACCCTACTGTCACCGATGACCATCGGACCATATTGTTAGCAGACCACGCAAGCAAAGGCCTCGCCGGCATCTTGCAGCGGGGTGTCGACGACGCCCGCGTCTCCAACCAAGCCGAGTCCCAATGCGGAGCCATCTCGCGCCGAGGCACTCTTATGGCTGCACGCGTTTCGCATTCACTTGTTGATTCTGCGGACAAGGCAAATCCTTCCATTTTTGCGTTGCACGTTGACCTCGCGAAGGCTTGCGACCGGGCGACGCGGCAGCCGATCTGCGGCGGGGGCACGCTGCCCACCTTCAACGGCGTCTATGGCATCGCGATTGACGCGATCGCCTGGGAGGCAAGGCGGGCAGGCGCCACGCTCGAGTTTCCGCTGCCTGGCGGGCCTTTTTTTGGCGAGCCCGCGCGCCGGCACAACAGAAACAGGACGTCTTCTCGATTTGGCCTTCATTTACGACGATGCAGTTGCCGTCGTAGCCAGGGCCCCGCGGATTTTGGATGACCACATCGATAAGTGGCTCAACGCTGTTTTGATGAGAATGTGCGAAGTTGCATTTGGAGTTACACGCGTCAGCTGGCAAGACGGAGGCCAGGGGCCTTGTTTTGCAGTACCGTGGTGCCCGATCTTGTGTTCGCCGGGAGGCCCGTCGGCAAGCAGACGGCAGTCTTCGAATCGTATTGCCAGGGCGTGACATGAGCATCGCAGTGGTCACATTGTACAAACATCTCGGTGGTTGCACTCCCCTTCGCGAGTGTAGTATGGAGGGCGCCAATTCTAAGGCGTCTCGGAACGTCTCGTAGGCTTCGCGCCTATGCGCCGCTGCCTTGGAAACTGTTCGGATCAGCGCACTTGCAGCGCGCGCATAACATTCGTTCCCTTCAATGCCTATTGATGAGCA